ATAGGATCAGAAACAACTGAACCAATTTAAAAATCCTTTCACCTACGGGAAGTATCATCATACGCGGGTGACACACTACAATTTACGCTTACGAAGTTACTGGAAAACAGCTAGTTGGATATAGTTCTAAATGCGATTTTACGCTTCCTTGGTTAAAAGAGGTAATCTTAAAGCATTGGTTATTATTCATTTGACATCGATTAGTAAATAGGAATATTAATATAAGTTTTCATAAGCCACAATACAAATAACTTAAACATTTATATTTTAGGATATTGTGACATCACACGACCCATTAAATGTAACTACTTTCACCGTGTCTTACTATCGTCAAGTTTGATTTACAATTCTTACTAAGTAGATTACATGAATATTCTAGGTTTGATTAATTTAAAATCTTGATTTGTGATATCTACAAAATGTTTATGTTATAAAATAAGTTATAAGTCCGATTTCGTTTTGTTATAACAGCGTTTTAAGTTTTGAAGACCCCACAGTTTAAAAAGTAACAAATTGTTGTCATTTACAGAACTATATGTTTTTATAATATCACTAGCTTTTGCCCGCGACTTTGTCCGCGTGGTATAGTAACTTTGGGCAGCATATATTTTCCAAAAACGCTGTTTTTTCGAGTTGATGATGAAATTTCCTTGATGTTTAAGTTCAAAGATAGTATAACAAAAAAAAAACAACAAATATCCAATATGTTTAAGCACTTTATCTTTGAAAACTTTAGAGATATTAATCTAATCCAATCCAATTTGGAAAAATATTTAACATTTTGGTGTCCCATAAAGTCTCTCACTCCCATTTTTATCCCTTTCAGTGCTAGTTTTCGGGATAAAATATAACCTATTACCTTGCTAGGATTATAAACTACTCAATTACAAATTTTCATCGACATTGGTCCATAAACAATGAAGTTTCATACAATTTCTTTCACCCTTTTTGATCCCCTTCGGCATGGAATTTCCATAAATCCGTTCTTAGTACACCTCTACGTATTAAGGGGAATGTTCTCTCTTAATTTCAAGTTAATACGACCAGCAGTTTAGGCTGTGCGTTGTCTGTCAGTCAGTAAGTCAGAACATCTCCTTTTATATATGTATAGATTATAATAATAAAATAGGTAACCTGCCTTTTAGCTAAAAATTTGTTTGTCCGATTATCACTTCAGATTAGCAAATTTTTGTTCGACGTTTCATTCGGTAGATTAGGTAATGACAAAAAAGTTTGGATTATTGTCATTTGTCAAACAAAGATAACCTTTAGACGAATAATCTTTCGTCAGTGGATTAGTTCTCTTTATGACATTGATATAATGATAAAAAATAAAGTAAATTTTACATGGGTACATTTTTTATTTATGAATCTCAAAAATAACCTTGAAGCCTTAAAATTGACAGCAATGCACAAAAAATATGCAATATGTAATATACTATGTGTGTGTATTGATGCACGAGAGAGGGGCAGAAAAAGAGAACGAAAGAAAACTTTATGTGAAAAGTAACAGTGAAAAAATAATTTGAGGGAATATGCCAGAAATTTTATAACTTTTACTCTTGGCGGAAAATAGAGGCACATTGCTAATATGAAATGAAATCTTTTTTAATAAACATACGAAAAACTAAAAAGAACTATGTGTTTTTCAACAAATATCTATGGCGTTGTGAATTTAAAATCTAATATGTTGATATAATAAGTCTACTAACAAAGCAACATTTGGATGTTTGTCTTCATAATATTTATAAAATTTTGCTGCTTTGGCCTCGTCCCGTTATTGGCTCTCGATAATTATAATTTTAAAACCTATCATGGAATTTACTAAGTTTTGATACTGTAAAAATTGAAAATCACATCAACATTTTAGCATTGTATTTATTTGTTAAATAATAATTAACTGGGTTGAAGGCTGTTGGCAACTATTTATATCATTAGATACACACGTTTAACTATAAAAACGGTCTCAATAATGGCCGTTATAAATTGCCATTATCACGATTAAATTACAATGCACAAACATTTTGATAAAAGTTTTTCGATCTGCACAATATTCAATTAGCACCTTTTCAAGATTTACTTTCCTAGTATTTAATTGGCTGTTAGATAATGGTATCTTTTTTACACCAATTAGATATAATATTTTATTTTTTACACTATATAGGTATGTGTATTGCTTAGGCCGGTGGAAGGGACCCCTATATGTTAACACTTAACAGATATTCACAGGTTAATACTATTTTAATACTTATTACCGTAAAAAAAGTTTCATGTTCCTTAATTCGCATATTCATCTTCTTAAGATACCAATTTTTAAAAAGAAAACCTTTTCAGTGAAAAAAAAGTATACTGACTAAAATTAATAGATTCAACGTCAATAATTTATTTAACGCTCAACGACAATAAATAAGGTAATTTATATTCTTTACAATTTTAATCAACAAATTTATTTTTAGTGAGTTAAATTATTGTAACTTTAAACCAAATGTTCATTGATGATTAAAATTACTCGTATTTAATTTAGAAAATGTTCCACGGTGGTCACTGAATTTATTCTGTATTAATAAAAAGAGTTCTTTAATGATTTGAAGTAACATCCGGATAAGCTCGTATATTTATATTTATGCAATCGAATCCGTGCGATTTAATAGATATGCATCTAAAAGTTGAGACGCACTACACCTAAGTTCCAGGACAGAATTTCACAACATACAATCATGCAACTGGTACGGAACTGAACAAGAAACGAGATGTGAACGAGAAAATAATTAGGATCTCAGTGTGAAATACGATACTATTGGCAACTTTATAACTGGTTGTGGATAAAATCGAATTCTTGTTAATTGATATGATAATTTAATATATTTGTATTAATTCATTTCTTTAAACAGATATTACGGATTAATTTGATTTCACGGCACTTGTTTTATAACTCTCACTGACTTACTTATATTCTCCGAGAAAAAAATCAGTTCCTATCAGTATCAGTTAAAAGATTTTCAAACAAGTATTATGGTTGTTAACGCCAGTTATTTATTACATTTTAATTAAATTATTCCATGCGTGGTAAAAATCTGAATTCCCACCTCACTTAAAACTTTTGGGAGCAGCGCCCACAGCGATGTCTTTCGCCATCTAGCGGTCAAGACAAGTCATTTTGAATATGACTCCGCCACGAACACGATCTTTCTGAGTATAAATTGGTTGCATCACATATGCCTGGAATTGATCCATAGTAATAAATAAAGAAGATTGTCGCCATCCATCATTTCGGTCTCGCTGGCGTGAACGCTTTTTGTGCGATGATAATAAATCGTGCCTTGGAGTTGCTCTGGTGTAAGTCACTGCATTCTTTCTTTCTTCTAAAATCGTACCACGCATACCTTCCTATATAGTGTTACTAATAAACAAGGTTTAGCGTTGGAGTAAATTTATGCAGCAGCAACACTTCATCATCATCAGCCCTTTTACGTCCCCACTGCAGGGGCTCAGGCCTTCCTTATGGATGGCTAAGGAGTATGGGCCATGACCCTCCACGCTGACCCAATGCGGATTGGAGGGTATTGACGACTGCAAATGCAGCCGGGACCAACGGCTTAACGTGCCTTCCGAAGCACGGAGTAGCTCGAGATAATAATTTTTTGGTCACCCATCCCGTTGCGAAAGTTGCTTAACGACAACGATCGCGGGCCGCGGCGCTTATCCACTACGCCACCGAGCTACACTTAATTAAAGATCTCTTTAATTACATGAATTTTGACCAATACTAAGTGTTGCTGCTGCGCGTACTATGTTAACTTAGCAAAAGTTAACATAGTACGTGGTTCTACGTGAGTAATATTCACTCCTAGAGGTAGTAGGTTTAGTTATTCTCTGTATAATATCAATTTGGCCTAATACTTAAATTACAACTTTAGCGTAAATTCACTCTGACGCTAAACCTTGTTTATTAATAGCGCTGCTAGAGTTTTACAGTCCGCTCAGTTTGATATAAAATTTACTAACAAGCGCGACTAACGGTTTTAAATATTATCCTCGGCATAAAAAGAGAAGTTCACTAATATCACACTTTTAAACATTAAGCATAACTAAAAATGTAAAACATCACATATCGATGGAAGATAAATAGAATGTGATATTTTCAAATGGCAGCTTTTTTAAATAAGTTAATATGAATATAAATCATTATGGAGAGATATAACTTACAAAGCATCTACTGTTATAAAGTACGAGTATCTAACACTTATCTACCTGAATCACATTATGGTTTACTGTTGCTGATTTTATTTATTTAGTTAATATATTCTTAATAATAATAATTCTAAATTATAAGAAAGTTAATATATCTTAATTATAGAATTGATGATTAAAGTTTCATGTATACTTTTATATTGAGTAGATGCGAGGTCCACTAATAAGTTACGCGGCCCGCGATCATTGAGGTTAGGCAACTTTGACAAGGGTCTTTCTGAGGATGGGTGACCAAAAAATTAATATCTTGAGTTACTCCGTGTTTTAGAAGGCATGTTTAGACGTTGTTCACGGCTGCATTTACGGTCGTTGGTATCCTCCAATCCGTATTGGGCCAGCGTGCGAGGTCATGACTCATCCTCCTAATTATCCATCAGGAAGACTTTAATGTAATTTAAAAGTATTGGGTCAAGGTTAAAGTTTAATCTGACTAAAATTTTTCTAAACTTACACATCAGTTTGCGTGGATTATAAACATTATAAACAATTATATTTATAGTATTTTGGTGTCCAGAATAGTATATGTTTTAGGTAGTAAAGGAAATATGGATTATTAAAAGTCATCTCGAAGTAAAAAACAAGATTTTTTGAAAAATATTCTATATTATACATCCTTTATTTGTTATAGTCAGTCAAAGAATCAAAATAATCTACAACAAAAATCGGTCATGACATATCGGTAAGTTTGAACCATGACCAAACAAATTTAGAACTAATTAACAACCTAATACGACGTAAATTATTTATAATTAGAACCCAACATAATAAAATCTGGAGTGACGGTGAAATGAGGAAGATGTTTCCGAATCTGCAGCAGTGTCTTCTTTTTCAGTTTGAGTCTCTTGTTTAGGTTCAACTGTTTCAATGACAGTAGCTTTTTCTGCAGATGGCTCTACCGCTTTATCAACTACAGGAGCTGCTGTATTTTCCATGATAACAGAAACTACATTTGGCACCATATTCATTGGAGCATCTTCTACGGCTTCCATCTTCACAATCGGTGCTACTTCTTTATTCGGTAACTGTGTCACCATTTCTACAGTTTTCAATAGCATCATTTTGTTACCGGAATCGATCAAAATCATTTTGTTTTCTTTCTCATCACTGTTTTCTACTTTATTATTTTCTTTAACTGGTTTATTTTCGTCTACAGTAGATTTGTTTTCAACAATAATTGGTTCCTGATAATAATAGTCCTTACCGGGAAAGAAGTGATTTATTTTTATACCTTGACCAAAATGTCTTGTTTGTCCAAATGTTGAGATGGCATGGTCGCCATGTTTATTAACAGTCTTGCTGACTATAGCGTTAAATCTGGAATAAATAATAAAATTTCTTACTTTAATTAAGACAGAACACGCAAACAATATTAATAGATTTACATCACAAAATTCAATAGTATATATATCCACAACTTTGTAGTATCAATTGGAATGGTAATTAAGTACTTTGTATTTGCTTGAAATCTTACTAAGTTAGTTACAGCATTCATTTATTGTTATGTGTGTTATTAACATGATAGTAGCACATAATTTAACACCTTTTTTTTCTAGTGCACTTTATAAGTGCAACTGTAGAATTATTTTTTGCTATGCACTATTCAAGCGTAGAAAAATAGGTTACATACCCATTATGATCATCGGCGTCATACTGCACTTTCCTCAGAGAACCATCAGGTTCAACAAGGCTGTATTCACCATGAACTTTATCACCGTCTCTGGTTTCATGGTGATGTTTTTGATCTCCAGTTTTTTTATCAGATACTGCATACTCGTACTCGTATTTAGGATAAGTCTGGGTGGAAATAATAAGAGATATACGTTAGACTTTTATTTTTCAAATTTTTTATAGACGATTTACCTTATGGTTTTATTTTCTATTTAGTAACTATGAATAAATAGATGTTCTTTTTTTTTAATAATGGTAAGGGCGCTTGTGCACTACACTGAATTTTCAGGTCCGGCGGTCCGATTTTTTCCGGTCCGGAATGACATGAAAAACTCGGATGAGTAGCTTGTGCACTTGTCCGTTTTTTTCCTGATCGGAGCGGCGTAGTGTAGGGCAGCTCTCTTTTGGAACGTCGGTAATTCCGTTCGAAGACGTAGAAAGGTGCCTAAATAATGATCTGATCGTTTTACATAAACCATAATAAATTATGGCAAGACTAAAGCATTTTTTTACTACTATCGGATGACTACTATCAGATGTAAAAACTACCCTTACTAATTTAGGAACAGCATTATTCACATACAATAGCTAAAAATTTCTGTGACAAAAACATTAAAATAAAATTACTGATAATGGTCTAGTACTTGATGTTTAAATTTTTAAACGTGTTATTTTTTTTTTCGAAGTTTTGTAAAAACAACTTTCAGCGATTACAGAGATAGACCAATCGGTGGCGTCATTTCGTAAACAAATCGAAATTAGTGCCGTGTTAGCGGAGAATTATTATGCTAAATGAACTTAACGAGATCAGTTGACTGTATTATATATAGGCATAATTTTATATGCGTGGTGTAGTCACTTTGAGCAGAAATATAATCCCCTAAGAATACTTTTTTTTTTAAATTTTATTAAGGACACAAACATACATTTAAAATTTTATTAAATGCGAAAGACATTGAGTGTCACTTAATTACTTTTGTTATTCTTCTGTTTATTCTTTATTATTACTTCTGTTGTCAAATATTTATCTATACTTATCAATTGTCTAAAAAAAATTTGATAATGACAAATTTCCAGGCAAACTTTCATCCCCTATCTTTCGCGATAAAATTTAGCCTATGTCCTTTCTTAAAGTTAAGTCTATTTACTATATTAATTTCCATTTAGATGGGTTCAGTTATTTAGGCGTCTAAGCGTAACAACACTCATTTATCTTACCTTAAGCTATCGATACTTTAAATACGATTCTAAAATCTAGCTAAGTATCGATACTAGAACCATACGCTGATCAAATTAGAACTATACCGTGTTTGCCAAATCTTATGCAGTGATATATACCAACTATATTAAATCATCATATAAAATATAGCATTTTATAATTAACAATAAATATCGATTATAAGTTTATTGGAAATTAACAATATTGCCGAAATAAATATCGATTCAAATCGATTACTTTTTCCCAAGCCTATTCCTTATGAATTTTCCGGATCTCGGACACAGCAGTGCACAAGCGTAAACACGTTTTTCATTGCCGCCATCACGGACCTGAAAAAACCGGTCCGGAATAGAGAAAAGTAAAATTCCGGACGGTAAAATTCCTGATAGTGCACAAGCGCGCATTACCTACATATGGCCTGACATATCGGACCTGAAAAAATCGGACCGCCGGACATGAAAATTCAGTGTAGTGCACAAGCGCCCTAACTGTCTGAAAAATACTTACGTAATGGTCATATTTATAAAAATATGTTGGGCTCAGTGGATGATAGACTTTAGTGAATCGCCAAGTATTAGAATTTTCAGTTTTGAATAAATTTTTGTTTACATTATTATCAGAATCTATAATTATTCCTTGACTGACTACCACGAAGTATGTAAGTAATAAAATCTGCAATAAAAAATTACAATAAGGTTAATAATTTTGGAAATAAACCATTGTTTTTTTAGTAAAACACAAATGTAAAATTATTTTTTTAATTACCTTTTCAGACATTATTCAGTACTTAGGAGGAACCGTCGCCAAACAAATATACTAGCAAACTGTTGAAAAAACTAAGTACTATTAAGCATTTTATACTTTTTCCAATTCCTATTATATAAATTCGTTAAAACTTTGATATTGTGTTAACATTATTTGGAACGAAAGATTTGTGGGGAATGGAACTTTCTTCGAAGACTTATAACTTACTGTGTATTCTTAATAAATAAGGTTTAACGTTGGAGTAAATTTACGTTGAGATTAAACTTAGTAATAGGCAAACTTCATATTATTAAACAGAGACTTTGCAAAGATAAACCTAGTACGAGGTTCTACGGGAGTAGTATTTACTCTTAGAAGGTAGTAGGTTGGCTTATTCTCTGTATAATATGAATTTGGGCTAATACTAAAATTGCAGTTTTAGTGTATATTTATATTTAGTCCGATGCTAAACCTCGTTTAGTAATAGCACTGTATGATGGTTTATTAAGCTACTAAAACTTAAGTTTATGTTAACAAAGTTATGGTGTCTTTCATTTTTAAATACAATTTATTTCTTTGTCCTTTTAAAATAGTCTTGGCAGTATGATCAATAAACTATTTATTTTAAAGTGATTTAAAATAACATGATATTTAAAATGTGCCTAATTCGTGGGTTATCAATATTAAAACATCTGCTATTATCAAATTCAGCTATTAATAATAAATTAATTCATCATTCAATAGCGTCTAATGTCTAACAAACATAAAATTAGACGCATTTTAGATGTTTTTTTGGCCAATTATTAAGATTATGCTACGCAATATTTGAAAATACAATTATGTAATGCTGCATTATTTTATAATAGAAGTAATATATAGACAGAAATAATGTTTGGTAATTTAGGCTGTGAATTTTATATAAAATAAATAAATCGGCGTTGGATTACAATTTTTTTTATTTTAATGAATATATGTCTGGATGTTTCAAAATATTTAAAGAGCGTATCCATGATAAGATATCCGATAAGTTATAAAAATCTATCGTATCGTTTTAATCTCGCCATCTCAAAGAGGTATTGAGTCCATTTTTCTGTTAAATCGGATTGGGGACTGTGAACTTTTATGGAACAATTAAATTGTTCCTTGATTCATTGCAAAAGTAGTAGAAGAATGCTTTGTTATACATAATTTATATGAACTAAAGTTGCAATCTGATTTAATTCATGATTTTTAAATTATATCGTACAACATCTATGATATTATAATTTTGTTTGTAAAATTCACCGTGTTGTGCCATAGTGTTTTTATCCCAGTAGCATTTTTGTTTATCAGCTAAACGAATTGTAACTCGGTATTATTTTATTATTATTGTAAAATTGTATATCTATGCGTTTTGTTGTTTAAATTTATACATCTTTCATAATGATATATACATTTTACAAGAAATGTAATTGTGGTAAATGCCGGCAAAGTTCGTTCGCTTACCCAAACAAATAGAAAAAAAAAAACAATTTTCTAGAGTATTACACACTATTACACATACACGAACAAAAAGTTAAACCTTTCTTTCAGTTTTTTTAATATAAAGATGAAAGATTCTCAGAAACTGCTGAACCGACTTTAAAAATTCTTTCACCACCATCATACGCGGGTGAAGCTTGTTTTGACAGGTCCTGGCGAATGGATTCTACTTAAATGGATTCTATAGGTCCTATTATTCGTAAGTTAATTTCATAAAACCTTATTATCGAACAATAAAATATATGAAGTGCATTCTGAATATCTTAATACAATTTATTGATGTATTTTTGCCCTATTTCCTCTTTAGTAATTCCGTAAACAGTAATTTCACAAAAGAGAGCGTATTCTGCGCTGTTATCATACGAGCCATCGGCACAATTCAATGGAATCGATGATTCCATTGTTTGATCTGGCAACGATGAAAGTGTAATATAAAATATATAAGTTAGTAACCCAGATGAAGTTTTAATTACGAAAAGGAAAATCGATTAGGACTTATTTTTATTTTAAGGGTTTCATAAAATGTAATGAACTAAAGTTTAACTGATGGATAAATTATTAGGCCCAAGTTATCTATTACATCTTACACAATTTTTTTCTCTTTATATTTATTTCAATAAAAAAAAATATCAATTTCTTTTTATTTGCCGATAAAATTTACTATATATTTATGCAAAGAGTAAGGTTTGATTTAAAAAAAGTTGTTATTCTATGGTTAAATAGGGAATATGCATATTTTTGGAAAATGTTTTTATATGATAATTTACATCGATATATAACTGTAAAAAAATATCCAGCACCGAAAAACTAAAATTTTGTAACATTAATCATTGATGAAAATGAGTAATACTACGAGCAGTTTAAACACCGGAATTTTTGTCGTGACGTGAGATATGAGGGTTTGATTATATTAGGATTTTAGTGATTGATTATTATTCAATTAACCAAATCGATTAACAAATAATCGATTTTTTAAAGAATAATAGACTTTTTTAATAAATCATATAGTTTACCAAATCGATGAAATAAAAATAAAAGCCTACAACATCATTTAAATTGTAATCTGTTGTTTATTTGTTTCTTTTTGTAACAACGACATCCTATACGTGTACATTTTCGTCACGTCCGCTCTGACAAGTAGCATGGCGTTTGAATATTTTGAAGTTACCGCATTTTTATGCACTTTTTAATCATTATTTTTAGGACGAAAACGAATTTATGTTAAAAAATATTAACATAGACTTTATTCTAAAACAATAATAATCGTAATAAAGTATATCCTTTTTTGAATCAGATGCATATTCCTTATTATCAATTATCGATTTTAAGAAGTAAGAAGAAATTATCATTTTCATTTTTCCAACAGATTTGACAGACCTATGTAGTTTGTGGATTTGACTTATAGCAGCACAAATGCCGTTGCTCCGAAAATTATAAAAATACATATATGAAAAAAACTTTTAGCATTATCAGAAAGACTTAGTTAAAATTGTAACGACTTAATTTGTTTTTTTTTTCTTATACATAATAATATATATAATTAAAATAAAATTAATATACAAAAAGGTCAATGAAAAAGACATGAAGATATTGTATATTGTGTGTTCATTGGGCTATTTAGAAAATTACTACTTTCAGTGATCATCAAGTTTTCAGTGAGGACAAACTTTTATATCTATACTAATACTGTAAAATTGAAAGATTTCAGTGTTTGCAATAAGCTAAGCCAAAAAAGTTGCGAGTGAAGTCGTGGAAAACAGCTTGTAATCTAAAAATAATATAGCTGAAAGGTAGTTATGGGATCTAAGTAATTAACCCCTTACCGCATACAACGCCATATATGGCTTCTGGCTTTGTTTATTTTTTTTAACATATTAAAATTATTATTTTTTCTAAACCAACTAAGAAAAAATATTATAGAATTCATCGTGAAACGGAACGCATTTTTTGTTGTCTATGGTAAGGTCTATCTGTCAACTTATTAGAGGTTATGTTCAGCAACTCCGACCGGTAAAGTGAATTTATTTAGTGCTGATTTTATTATTGGAAAAAAAGCAATAATATGGTAAGTAAAAAATGCTAATTTTTTAAAATGCTTTCATTGTACATTCATAAACATAAAATAACTCAGATTTCAGTGTTTTTTTGCATTTTGTTTGATTTTTGGGCCCCATTTTTCAATTGCCATATTTGGCTTCGTATGTGTTCAAGTCACATTCACTGTCTGTCATATATGGCTTCATATGCATTCAAAGTTTGCTTTCTTTTCTTTGTAGCAATGAATCCCTCACGCTTTTATGGTACATCCAAGCATGTGAATCCCATTCCCGGTGACGGCTGTCAGAGTGATGATGATCTAGTTTCTGACTCAGATCCTGAATATGAACCTGCATCCGTCCCTTCACGCCATACCCGTAAAAAAAATATTGTCATATCTGAATCGGATAGTTCCGATGATGATGAAATCACCACACAAAGCTTGCATGCTCCATCCACATCCACAGCAAAGGGAAAAAAAAACAAAAAGACCCGGTAATTTGGAAAAACCAGAAAATGGAAGCTTATGATGCAGAAAACTTCAAATTTTCAGGAAATTCCGATCTGCCAGAAGAAATCATAAAGTTGGATTCACCTCAAGAAATTTTCAAGTTCTTGTTCACGGATGAGTTGATTGATATGATTGTTGAACAGTCCAACCTAAAATCTATTCAGGACAACGCTGATAAGCCAGCAAACATAACCAAAGAAGAGATTGAGCAATTCATTGGCATGGTAATTTTTATGTCTTGTGTAAAGTTGCCGTCAACGAGACTGTATTGGTCAAAACATGTAGGCCAGCAGCAAGTTTATGAAATAATGACCTGTAACAGATTTGATGCGATTAAGAAGAATTTGCATTTCAATAATAACGAAAACCTTAAGCCCCGTGGCACAGATGGTCACGACAAACTCTTCAAAGTTAGACCATTGTTGGATAAGATTCGTGAACGTCTGCTGCTGGTTCCAAAAGAGGAGTACTTAGCCGTAGATGAGCAAATTATTCCCACCAAATGTCGTCATGAAATAAAGCAATACAATCCAGCAAAACCTCACAAATGGGGATATAAAAATCAGGTTCTGAGTGGTGTGTCAGGATTTAGCTACGACTTTGACATATTTGCTGGAGACCAAAGCAATACTTTTCCGTCAGATGCACCTGATCTTGGAGTGAGTTCGAATGTTGTGACCAGACTTGCTTCCACGGTACCAAAACATCAAAACCATAAACTCTGTTTCGATAACTGGTTCAACAGTCCTAACCTGCAAGTTTATTTGTTTCAAAATGGTATATTGTCACTGGGAACTGTCAGGCTTAACCGCGTGCCGAACTCAAATATGCCTACTGAAAAGAATCTAAAAAAGAAGGGACGAGGAAGTATGGAAGAGAAGACAGCTGTCATAGACGGCGTGAAGCTGAGTTTAGTGTCCTGGTTTGATAATAAAATCGTAAATATGCTCTCAGCTTACGTAGG